CTAGAAATGTAATATTATTTTGAAATAATTTTCAGTGATTTTGAAAAATGTCATGTGATTCTGCAATTCTACTTCTGGATATATATCCAAAAGAATTGAAAAATTGAACAAATTTTTGATTTTTATTTCATTGCTAATATTCATTAGTTTCTTATTGTACCCAAAATCTATCATTAAGTCTTTTTTTAATTATTGTGGAAAAATATGCATACCATAAAACTTACCATTTAACCATTTCATTGACATTAAGCACTTTCATATTGTTCTGCAACCACTATTTCTCTCCATCTCCAGGACTTTTTCATCTTCCCATGCTGAAGTTCTGTTCCTGTTAAACACTAACTTCCCATTCCTCTCTGCCTTAGCCCCTGGCAACCACCATTCTACTCTGTCTTGAAATTTGGCTACTCTATGTGTGTCATATAAGTGGAATCAAACAATATTAGACCTTTTGTGACTAGCTTATTTCACTTAGCATGTCTTCAGGGTTCATCCATGTTATGGCAAGTATTAGAATTTCCTTTCTTTTTAAGGCTGAATAATACTCCATTGTATGTATGGATCACACAATTTGTTTATCCATGTATCTGTGATGGATACTTGGGCTGCTTTCACCTTTTGGCTATTGTGAATAATGCTGCTATAAACATGACTGTATAAGTATCTGTTCAACTCCCAGCTTTCAGTTCTCTTGGGTACATACCCAGAAGTGGAACTGCTGAATCATATGGTAATTCTACTTTTCATTTTTTGAGGAACTGCCATACTGTTTTCAATAGCTGCATCATTTTACATTCCCACCAACAGTGCACAGGGATTCCAATTTCTCTACATTTTTACCAACATTTGTTATTTTCTGTTCTTTTTGTATAGTAGTCATCCTAATGGGTGTGAAGTACGTCCAAAATTTTTTAAAGACTTTTTTTTTTTAAAGAGTCTTTTTGTTCTGGAAATTTTCTAACATTAAATAGGGTAAATAGTAGTCAAACGGCCATGTGTCTATCATCTAGCCCCCAAAATTATGAACACTTGGCCATTGTTGTTCCAATTATACTTTGACCTTCCTCCCCTATTACTGGAAGGCAGACCCCAGTCATCATAAACTTAATTAGTTTTTAAATCAAAGTATAGTTGATTTACAATATTTAAACTTTTTTCTATTAAAAAAGCAAACAAACGTTATTAATACAAATAATGTTTTGCAAATTTTACTTGCATCTTTGCTGTGTCTTTGATTCAGTGGTCTGTAACTCTTGTGTCATTGGTAACAAATATGTTCTCAGCATCATTCTTGCTCTTGTGCCATGCAGATATAGATATACTTTACATATGCCTTTCATCTATCCTTGCTTGTTAACAATTTATTCATGGGTAAAATTTTAAAATGCATTGTTACTGTGATCACAAGTTGCACAGTCACTTCTAAGCACAACTGTAACAACATATCTAACTGTCAAAATAAGTCATATTATTATGGAAAAGAGTGAACATCACAGACACAACCTTGAGTCAGCTCTATAATTTTTTAAAATTGAGGTATAAACAATTGGCATACATTATATAGTGTCAGGCATAAAACATAATGATTTGACATTTGTATATATTGTGAGGTGATCACCATGATAAGTCTAGTTAACATCCATCATCATTCATAGTTATTTTTTCTCTTTGGATGAACAGCTTTCAAATATGCAGTACAGTATTATTAACTGTAGTCAGCATGATAAACATTACGTTCTTGTGACTTATCTTATAACTGGACGCTTGTACCTTTTGACTCCCTTTACCCATTTTGTCCGTGCTACACCTCCACTTCTGGCAATCACCAATCCTTTCTCTCTGTGGCTCCAATTTCCTTTTTTATAAAAAGATATATACTTTCTTTTTTTGGTGAGAGGGGGTAGGAAATTAGGTTTGTTTGCTTATTTATTTAATTATTTAATTTTTTAATGAAGGGACTGGGATTGAACCCAGGACCTTGTGCACATTATGCACACAGTCTACTACTAAGCTATACACTGTTCTCTACTTTCATTTATCATGTACTTCAGTACACTGTATACCTCGAAGTTGAGGGTTCTTTTTTTTTTAACATAACCATATTATATCTAAAATTAACCATTTTTAATCATCTGATATCTAGTTAATATCACCCATATCTTTATGCCCAGTTTCTATTAATCTGATGGTATAGGAAACAAAGGGTTAACAAGTCACTCAAAGATGACAATTTACATTGCTAACGAAGATGTAGTTACGATTTTTAGTTTGTTAACTTTGAGCAAGAACTCTGCTTTGCTTAAACTATTAATACTCTTCCTGATATTCATTGGCATTTGTATATATACCATAAACAGTACAATAGTCCACTTCCTTTAGTAAATACGGTGAGCCTAGTTCTGGGGTTACCTTCTGTTTGATTATGTTTATGCATTTGTCTGTTAAATATTGCCATTTTAAGGGGCTCTGGAAAATACACGTAAAGGCAGAACAGGATGAAAATCTACAAATTTGTCTACATAGCTGATAGAATGTGCTAGTAGAGATGTTTACATCCTTTTTTGGAGGTGGTGAGTGGTAATTATACATTTGCAGCTATGCATTTTCTGAACATTAATCTCAGTGTTAAAAATGAGAATCCACTTATAGAGGTCAGAACTCCTCTGTTGGCAAAATCAAGTTGTTGCTGTGTAAGTTCTTTAATATTGAGTCATTTGAAATGTAAGCTACAACAGAGCCAGCTAAAGGCTGTGGGAAAAGGAGAGGAACATACAGTTATTAATTCTTTTTTCCTCCTTTAGTTTTCTTAATTTGCACAGGAGACCCCAGAATACAGTATTCCCTGCTGTACTTTATAATGTTTGAGGGAAGTGTTGTTCAAAATACAAAGAAAAGGATACCCTGTGATTTTTTAAAAATACTTTTATTTATTTATTATTATATTATTTAATTATTTTATTTTGGCTGGAGGGGGGCAGTAATTAGGTTTATTTATTTTTAGAAGAGATACTGGGGATTGAACCCAGGACCTCGTGCAGCAAAGCATGAGCTCTACCACTTGAGATATATATATATATATATATATACACCCCCCCCAGGCTCCCTGTGATTTAATAAGATTCCATCAGTATTCAGGTGTAAGAATGCAGTTCTGTTGTCAGGCACATATAAATGAGTTAAAAGCAGAAGTGGTTCTTTCTCCTTGGCTTGATTTATACTTTTTCTGTGTGCTGTTTTACCAATTAACAATTTTCTTTTTGCTTAAAGATAGCTTATATCCTTGTTGGGTAAATAACTTCTGTAGCACAGAGGCTTCAGAGTGATAAAAAACACTAAAATTATTTCCCATTCTCCTTGTGTTGTTGTGATAGTATTGATGGTAGTAATATAGGTAGTAATATAGTGTCCCTTATACAGTATTTATAGTGTGCCACAAAAAACCTAAGTGCTTTACATGTATTAACTCATTTAATCTATACAGTAACCTTATGAGATAGATATTATTATTATCTTCATTTTACTGATGAGGTGTTGAGGCACAGAAAAGTTAGTAACTGACTACTCCAAGTACAAATAACTAGTAAGTGGCAGGGTTAGGAATTGATCTGGGGCAGCCTGGCGCCAGGGTCCTTCCTCCCAACCATTATACTGTCCTATACTTATTTGACACCCATATAAGTAAAGGGAAATGTGAGATAAAAAATGCTTTTAACATCTTTGTGGGCTCTATGGAACTTATTATTTGTTCATTCAGTGCTGCCTGTAGAATCAGTGATTACAGAGAGAACATTTAATCTCAAAGCATTCATCCCTATTTTCAAACTAGTATTTTCAGATGTGTTCTCCATCTGAGACCTTGCATTTAGAAAAAGTACACTTGAACTTTTTAGTTGAATTGGCAGATCAAGAGCTTACAGACAGGATATTGCCTTTGAGTATTTAGGCTGTATGTGCTGACCCCCTGAAACAGTAATTTGGTACAATGTTTCCACTAGAGTTCAGCAGTATTAGGGGTTCTGACTTCAAAGTGTATATGTGTGTGTTTTATATACATATATATTTGTAGATAGGCCGCTTCTCCACAAATGGAGCCAATCTTATACAAATTCTAAAAACCTGTCAGAGCCATTTAAATCCAAGAACTATCTAAACATTTGAAGTAGAACTATGTGTGATGCAAAAATGTTACCTTTCTGGAGATTTGTGATAAGTAGAATAAATAAAGCAATCTGCCCATTTTTTAAATACTTGAAGTTTAGGCCAAAGAACCTCCAGTTAATCTTGCAGAATTAATTCTTGTTAGGTACTGATTTACATACACTTTTTATCTTTAAGTCTGAGTTAATAGCAGCTGTTAACTAAAAAAGTCAATGTTCT